GGGGGGGGGCAGGGGGAGAATTCGATGTGTCTTCACATGTAGACATATAGACATATAGACATGAGAAGTTAATGGCTCTGTTTGTGGGTTATTATGATTGGCTACTGAAAGTCACATAGAATACCTTAGCTTGCTTCCGAACCAGCTTGGGAATTTGTACTCTCGTAACGGCTGTTATGCTCATTAACTCCTCCTCTTATAAAAGAATGTGTGTTTTGGCAACCGAAAGGAAGATAATGTTTAAGGTATGTTTAATTAAGACCGTTAGCTGGTGAAATTAACAGGAGTAAGTTCAATTGAGTGACGGGCGGTTTCAAAAAGATGAAACGTTAATTAGTAAAAGGAAATCGGTTCTGAACTAAAATGGTTTCCGCCCTATATTCAGAGGCAATCATTAAAATGAAAAAAATCCGTTTTAAAATACGTTTGTTATTGGTATGATAATCTAACACGGCCCTTCAACAATTTTACCTCCTTACAATACAATCGGAAAATGCGGTAAAACATCTTCGATTCTTTTCACGCAAGACAATAGCCGCTTTCTTTACTTAAAAAAATTAACCATTTTAATTAGTATGGTAACTCGATATTGCGTTCAACATATTTCTTTAATATCGAGAACAGAAAACGGCAAATAAAAGAGAATATTGCTAACAGGTCGGTAAGGCAATGTAATCTTGTAAGAACCTCCAACTTTATTTGGAAAATCCCGTCTCATTAACATTTATATACAATTTTAGCCACTTTAGTAGAAATCATTGTTTGTATACCCTCTCCTAGACAAAGAAAAGGGTTTTCACCCACTGATCGTACCAAACTACAGTTAAAAAGTATGCCTAATAAAGGTGTTTTAACTTTAAACGTCTCCGGATTTTTGAACGGCAATATGGAAACATTACACGCGCGCCATTTGTGGGAGCTTAGTCGACCTAATCTTACGAGCCTTAAAATATCAACTTTTGGGGAACGTACGTTGACTAAGGGCGTTTATAGACGATTTAAGAACCTTCCAAGTACCTTATTTCCATGATTTTGTCCTTTTTCTATCCCGAAATCTTTCAAAAAGGCTCCCTCTTTCAGGCTCTGAGCATTGTTTTATTCATGTATTCGAGTAGTCATGAAGGACTATCAGAATCTACTTCAACCGACTATCTTTTTGGGAAAGATGGAAGCGCTACAAAAATTGAAAACATAAATAATTAAAATTCCGTTCAAATAAAGTACTAAAGAACAAAAGATTTAGCTAAATGGTTCTTGGACAAAAAATTGACACAGTCTTAGCTGCTTGTCAAACCCACTTGCGACCGACAGCTGAGACCATTCAAAACCGTCAGGTTACTGACAGTTTCTATGGTTCTTAGTACGTAGCCGAATTAAAAAATGACATCACCGTGAAATTAAACCCACACCCACTGTAGAACAGATGATCTCGCACTACACTGTTAATATTTTTTTTAAAGATCTGATTCGCTAATTGCGTAGCACGTTAGCTGACAGAATATTTAAAGGGAGACCCTCTGACCTAATAACTTTTTAGTTCATTCTCAGAAGCCGAATAAATTTCTTGGAAACTGAAAAAGGAAAGATATATCGAGACTGCCGCTAAACACCCGCTCGAACGAGGGATCAAAGTTTATATAATAGAGGCGTCTTTCCGAGGTAAGACTACAATATTCAAAAGAACTTTTGTTTTAAAAGTCAGCGTAAATGTAAGGAACACCAACGTTAAAGACCGGTTTGAAGAATATTGGTTTTCTTTCATAACGTGTGAACATCATTAAAATCGTTATGCTTAAATAGAGGATATGAACTCTTACAGCGGAAATCAGTAATTTTGTTTAAAGCAACTTAAAATCCAAACTGAGTTGCTACTTTCGCGCTTCATTTTCAACTGCATTTAAAACTTGTGGAGCAGTTTGCCACGGTTACTACTTATGGTCTCGGTTTCAAAACCACTGGAACTAGAGCTTTGAAAGCGCTCACGAGATGAATGAGGAAGTTGTGTAACTGAAAACACTTAGGAAGACTCGGTCCGGCGAAAGGGGAGTTAAACCTGTAGCACGTTGAATCACATATGTATCTCCTCATACGATTTTCATTGGCGACAAGTTGAGGAACCGATGCCGATGCCGATGCCCCTGCATACATACATCTGAAACATCTTAGACTGAAGGGCCATATGGAACGTCGAAAACCATCTGAATCTTTTGTCGAGATCAATATGATATGTTTATATTGGACGGAAAAAACAACAAACCTCGCCGTATTTTCTATGTGTCGAGTAGCAAAATGTCTAGGTTAAAACAGAATTATTTATTTTGTGTGAATTATCGGAAAAATTCTCAGGTAGACCTTTTTCGAAAGTATTAAATGCATACTAACTGCTGCGGTTGATGTAAAATGTAGCTGCGCCCACCAGCCTGTCGTTTCATCTCCGGCAATACTGTTTACTTTTAATCAGCAAAGGCCCTCCGGGTTCGATTCATATTTCATATTCATATTTCAGTTCAAATTTTGATATAAATAACTAGATATATTTTAACATCAGTAACCCAATCCTTAATTTAACAGCGATATTTCCAAAATTACTGACGTATGAAATTTTATTACTACAATCCCAAAGACGAAACATTCAATAAGTTTTTAAGGTTCTCTTCAGAATGAGCGATGATGTCTAGGCACACATAAAAGAATATTTTATAAATTTCAAACAACTTGATGAGGACTCAAAAGGTAGTGAGAAATTCAGTTGGAAGCTAATATATTTTTAAGGGGAGTTCCTTGAAAGCACAAGTGACTGTGATCTATTAAACAGTTCTACCGTGCAATGGACAACTGTAGATACAACAACCTTTCAGCAAATTTATTCGGAGGGAAACACTCTATGTTGGCAGCACGAGATAACTTGAACCATAAATAAAAAAGCAGTTAGCCTTTCTCGAAATATCGTGGCGACAGACAAGTTTTCGTGAATACAGAAGCGGGAAATGATTGTGCGTCAAATGTTTTTTGTTTTGGTAACATTAACTCGGCAACGGATAATAACAGAATTACAAACTTTGCCACCAAGATTCATTATGGAGGCACCTTAAAAAAACGCATTTAAGAATGACATAAATGTCCGTCTCCGCCAACAAAAGCCATCAATCAATTTTTGCGCACACCATTTTTGGCGGAAAATCCTTAGCAGCTGCCCTTAATAACATAAGCGAACATTTAAATAATATTCGATATGTCGCTGAAAGAAAGTTGTCCGAAGAAAAGGGATAACTTGATATCATAGATTCAGTTAAATGTTTCACTGACACAATAATTGTTAATGTAAATCGGCTACCATGGAAAATTTACGAAGCCGACGTTTCAAGCGTTAGATCTCGGTTAGAGCGACATAAATCGGAACTTTAGTTAAGCATCGAAATCGCATCGATAAGTAAGAAAGAGGAACACCTACTGTTGCACTTGGACTATTCTTTAGGTGGAAAAAAGCCCACAAAATAGATTGAGTTTTAACAGGGGGGCGAACTTGTCAAATATATCTAAATCGTGTCGATCATGTCTGGTTCTCATGAATTTGCACGCATTCAAACTACGCATGAAATTAAATGTTGTTGAGTCTAAGAGCAGTAATGGGAAATGGAAAAATCAAAGTGCTCTGTGAGCAAACTCGTGAATTGACACATGATTTTTTAGATTATGTTTAATGTTTTCTGGTTTAGGGAATTTTGTGGTTGATTGTCATATTTAGAGTACGAGCAGAAGTTCAGTATTCAAAAAAACACACGCGACGAAACGTAATGATCAATTTTGTCCTCAATCTCACGCCATAACAGAAAAAGCTTTTGAACATCTGTAAACTCCGAGCGCTTCGCAGTAAGTAATATTTTCAATGAATCTTCGGATTGTTTTCGAGTTCAAGGATTGTAAATTACAATTTTATGAAAAACGAAGGTTGTTCTGTTATTTCAGTGTGAATCCTTGCATGCCTGCCAGTCGCTGGCGCCGCTTGTTGAAACTAAAACGAAAAAAAAACTCTTTTAAGATTATCATTGGCTTCTTTTTTTTTACCCCCACCACTATTCTTAGCAACAAAGGTCACCATTTCTTCTGTTTATTACACGCCAAAAACTATCAAATGTACTCAAAAGCCTAAAATCTAAAAAAAGTTTACAGGAATCGACCAATCGAGCGAGCGAGTGCCATTCCCCACATCGTATCTATAACTCGCTCTTGCGCATGCGCGCAATTCACGAGTTAAAAAGGAATGACGAGTAGGGTATGATGGGAAATTGCGAATGGGACAATGAGACGTAGGAAATGAGAAACGAAAAGTGGGAGATGAGAGACGGAAAAGGAAAATATAGAAGACGCCAAAATTGATAATTAGGAAAACTAAGAATTGTATGATGAACAATAAGGAGAATTAATAATGAGATTTTGGGAGTGAAAGGGTGAATTTCAATGTTTTAAATACCGATAGGGGTGCCTCGATGATGACATGATTAAAAAACGGGATGGTTTCTGTGTATTGTATTGTTACCTGCGCGGGGTTAACTACAAATTTTTCTTTCTCTCTCATTATCAATGCACAGGTAACCATCCAAATGGGTTTGTTCTTACAACTTCTTCAAGTTGTTTTGATAGGTACTCAGCTCTTAAAAGAAGCAACAACAAACGCAACAGCAACAGCAACAACAACAGCAACAGCAGTCACGACTTCAGCGATAACATCAAAAACAGAAAAATTAAATACAGGAATAGCTACAAATGTAGCACAAACAAGCTCTCCCTCCGTGAACGACACCACCCCAACCACCGACAACCAAACCAGCCCGTTCAGATCGCCGACAATAATGAATACCGCGTCAAGTGCAGACACAGGAACAACCACCGTCCCACTTGTAAAAAACACTCTTACCTTGATTTCAACGAGCAACAAGTCCCAACCGAAGAGTGTTTCGCAGTCGATCCCCTCTACAGATCTCCATTCAACACAAAGTAAAGCTTCAAACTACATAACTGGTGTTCCAAAGCGAACGCAGTCTATCAATTCAAGTTACGGAACGTCGTCGATGATCTTCATAAACTCAGGCTCTGCTACCCTTCTGGTCTCTCCTACAACTACGGAACAAACAAGCTCTCCCTCCGTGAACGACACCACCCCAACTCAACAAGTTTCACCATCTTCTAGTGTATTACACAAACTATCGTCTTCCCAGTCGGGAAATACAACACAATCAGCATCTACGACATTAAATTCAACAACAACAACCCAAGGATTTTCTGCTTCGTCAATGTGGAAAATCTCCAGCGACAACCAAACCAGCCCGTTAAGCACGCCGAAAGCAATGAACACCACGTCAAGTGTAGATG